TTATTGCTTCGGATTGAAAATTGTATTTTTACATATTTTCATGTAAAAATACATTAATCCTTGCCATGTAAAACAGTTTTGTAAAAGAAAAGCCTCGTTTAAAGTATGCTTAAGAGATATCTGCGTGTCGCGGTAGCGGCGAAATTCTTAGCCTCTTAATCCGCGAATCTTCGATCGCTGTCACATTCCTCGAGGAACGACAATGCGTCTCGCGGACTTTCCGTTCGTGCTCGAATTCCCGATGCTTCTTCCTACTACTTCTTCAGAATCGTCGATGAGATTGCGTAATCCTGGCTTTTCAGCACATTCGCATTTTCCGCGGCCCGCTTGGCTGACCGCAAGTATATGACTTGTAAGTGCATGACAGAATGATTTGACATTTTTATATCTTGCAGAGATTATCTCGTTCGAAATTATTGATATTTACAACGTCAAGTCTATGTCTTATGATATTATTTGGAATTTGTCCAACAATGCGAAACAGTTTTGAATATTTATAACGGTTAACACAATTAATATAATTTAATGTAGAGAAAAAGTTCTCCAGAAGCAGGAAATTTTTTACTTTCTTAATAAATACAAGTTCTTAACTTCCATAAAAAAATATCATAAATAATTTACAAATTGGATATTCTCGGTCACTCTACATTCTCAGAATTAAATATCTTTTTAAAGAAAAAAATTGATTTTTTAATATTTAACACGAAAAAGTCTTAAATTTTATTTTAACGAAAACGAAAAAGGTGTTTGAAATTATTTTTCTTAAAAGAAATGCCGCGATGGAGTGAAAAAGAAATACATTAGATAATTTAAAACCAGGAGCAACAAGTATCGCGATTGATTTAAGACGTTTCTAGAATTATCGGAATTGGCCCGATTGCACCAATTATTTGTGGCCACTGGAGCGAGACAATTCGATCTCGCACAGTATTCCGACAAATCTCATGTTGTACATTACGATTGCGTAAGTTTCGAGGTCGCTGCGATGGAATTCCACGTGCAGAATTTGATCATTCATGAAACGAATGATCAAAATTAAAATAATTTACATGGCTAAACACAGAAAATACGAAAATAGACACCAAAGACGAATCTTTCTAAGATGTCTTATACTTCCGTAAATTGCAGTTTTGGTCAAATCTGAGTTGATTTTTTTCTTTGACAAAAATATCAAGGTACCTTTGAAATTTAAAGCTACAAACAGTAAAAAGTTTTTGTAAAAAAAAGCGACCAACATTTTTTCGCATATTCTTTAACTAAATTCACAATTTTTTAAGCTTTACTTTAAAATAAATAAATTTGTATTAAATTTGAAAATGCCCGTAAGATATACATTAAATATTGGCAAGTTAAGATGAGTAATACATCATACAAGAAATGAATAATCCATCGATATTTGGGTTGAAATAAATCAAAATCAAGATTAGTTGATGTATCTCTAAAAATAAATAAATATAGGAAAATATAACATATATAACATATATTATATTTTTTATTTGTCTTCAATATTATGTATATAATTAATAGTAATTAATATTATAAGCTTCTTTTATATGTAAATTAAATTCTTAGACTTTTTAAATTCTTAGACTAATAATAATTTTTTTTATAAATATCGAATCCTTTATGCTTCCAGACTCGAGAAAAGATTTGTTGTGTAAACTTTATTTGCTACTTACGACATAAATAATCTCAATTAGGGACGATATTAGAACGGACGAGTTGCTTTGGCAAACGCACTTCCTTTCGGAACCGGACGAGGTGGCCGAGTGGTTAAGGCGTTGGACTGCTAATCCAATGTGCTCTGCACGCGTGGGTTCGAATCCCATCCTCGTCGTTCGCTTTTTGTTGGCTCGCGATGATCTTCCCTGTCCGAGAATTATACGCGACGTAATCAGAGTATATCAATCGCAATTATTAAATTCGCAATTGCGTAGCTTATGAGTACCATGTGTGGATATTTATACGTTAATAGCATTCGTTGATGAATTAAATGTGCACGTACCGATTTGTACTATTCTGTCAACACGTTACTGTACAAATTATGCGAAATAATTAGCTGTGAAACAACAGCATTTTGTTTTTTTTAAGAAACATAAAATAGTTTTTTCTTTTTGATGTGTGAACAATTGGGGGGGGGGGGGTTTAAAATAATGATTAAAAAATAAAACTTTCAATCTTCTCATGAAAAATAAAGAAATTAGCATTTAATTAAGCAAGATAATAACTTATGACAACAATGTAAATGCTGAGTGCATTTGTGAGAGGAATCGTATCCGTAGAAAAATTTCTTTGGAACGGTCGAACAATACGTCTTATGTAATATATTATTATCGATTCGCGTGAATAATTTGTTGCAAAACTGACAGAAATCTTTTTGTTACTAGTTGTGTAAATACGAAATGGAATGAACGATTATTTCAAACGTTCTGAAGAGAAGGAAAGAACGTTCGTGCATTTATTATAAATTACGTGCTCAGTTGATGAAAAGTGATATCGGTTCATCCTGTGAAATCGTATTTTGAAATTGTTGACGCTGGCAATTTAAAATAATAATCGCGATTATATTTTTGTACGTGTTTTTAACAAATCGTACGAAGAAAAAATGTTACATGTTTACGGATTGAATGAATATTTTCCGCATTCCGGAATTTAGCTCGCGACGTCATCGTTTCATCGACAATGTACGCTTTATTTTTAAATAGCGTCATTAAGGATGCAGTGATTAAAATTAATGAGTTTGCTCCGTTCTCTGTAATTCAGCCTATCTTAAAAAGTATGTTAAACCAAGCATAGTTTATATAAAAAGCTAGTTTATATAAAAATTAAATGAAATAGAAAAATTATCGAATAATTATGTTATGACGGCTGTATCTTCAGTTGATGTTTATTTTTACAACAGCTTTTACGTTAATAATAAATTAACGTGAAATGAACATGAAACGAAATATAAAGATAGGTTAAATATAATTGTAAAATTATTTCCGGGTTTTTCCTGCATTCGTGGAAGCAGTTTGCACATTCATATCAAATCCCACCGTTCGTCTTAATGATCAAGATTACTTTAATTATTTGATGACATGATGCTGATAGACTCTCGCAACCGTGATTCCCGTGGCAATTGCAGCTTACAATGTAACGCGTTACTAATTTTGCATGATTAATTTAAATATTGGAAATCATGCGCGCAAAATGCTTTTCACGCGATATCGAGTAATATACCTTTTTATCAATATTTCCGTACGCTTTATTGACCGACCGATAAGTTAAGCAACTTCAATTTACGATGTAACATACTACACGTGTTTGCGTAGCAATCTTAATCATGATAGAGTATCATCACAGAACATCTCTCAATATCGAGCTACAAGTGTCCCGTGTCCTTTTCAATTAAAGTCAAATAATTTCGCGGCATGACAAATATAATGGTATTATCATTTCCTGGCTATAGACTGAATAAAGTCGGACCATTCACACATTTCTGACTTATAAGCTACTTCACCTGACAACAACTACTTAAACCTCTCTTTATATCTCTTTGTAGACATTGGCCGGTTTATCTTGCGATCCTGTTTAATAATGATCCTGTTTACGTTTGTATATTTAATTTTATGCTTTTTTAATTTTATATTATTTTTTTACACTCCCGATTTTCGTACGTGACTATATTTTAATCAATTGATGTCTTTGCGTGGAAAAGATGCTGTATCGTCGAAATGTTTGCATATTATTTATATGCACATACAATACACATACATAGAGGAAAGTTCTTTATTATGAGATAGAAGTCTAATATGAGATAGTATAAGCTTTTCAACACCCAAATTCAATCACAAATTTTTCTCGCAACGATTATGCGATTTAACAATCATTTTCCACTAAACAGACTTCGCTCCACGAGCAATAAATTTATGGTGGAACCAATAGATGATGCTTGTTAATTTAACAGAAACCCTGCGATCTCATATTAAGAACTTATCTCATAATAGGGGACTTCCCTCTATAATTTATTCGTGTTCGTCACCTTCAACTGCTCATACTTAATATCGGTTATTAAATGAAATGCGTTTCTTGTTATTTTTAATTTAAATATTTAATTCTTTGTGATCTGTTATTGGAACATGGATTATTCGATGGACAGTATGGACACGCACAAACATGACCCTGTTTAAAATAATAGATAGAATATGATCAGATTACATTAGATTACACGCAATTTCAATGTAAATTAATAAGACTCTTATTTATTTGCATTGAAATTTCATGTAATCTAATGTAATCTGATTAAATTCTAATATTTTAAACAGGGGATTACGTCATCCGCTCCCCAGTCTGGAGGACTTAGCGTGGACTTTTCTCTTTTTTTTCGACACTGAAATTCACGTTGAAAGGAGATTTTCGACACAATTAAAGATATCAAAGAAAATTCGCAGGCTTACACGCGATCCCAAAAAACGCGCGCGCTGTCATGGGTAAGGAACTACAATTTATCTTTCCATAGTTCAGGCTTTCTCTCTTGACATTTTTCCGACGGGATTCCGCGAATTTTTTAATTTTTTTAAAAAACTGATATCCATATTGAAAGGCCACAAATTTGACACAATTGAAGACATCAAGGAAAATTCATGAAAATATCTTTTGTTTTTATAAATTTCCACAATAAAATAAAACTATGCATTTCGTATTCTATTCCGCATTCATTAAAACATCAGTAACAGTGTAACATTTATTTTAAATTATACTCTAATATTAGTTTTAAATCTTATTACTTTATTTGACTGTCGTTTAACCACATAAATAATTGTGATGGTAACAAATTTTGTTAATTGTTCCAAGGCTAAAGCAGGGACAAACAAAGGCAGGAAACGACGCTATCACGTACTAGATTAGATTGCAATTAGTGTGTTAATCATTGCCAATTACATTGCACTTTTTCAGATAAGCTATGCAATGTAGACGCAAAATTCCAACCATTCCAAGTAATCAAAGTTGGCACATTTATTAAAGAGGCAACAATTATTTCCCACAGTTTCAATTGTTTTCTTTAGCTTCAAATAATTTTACAGGGCATTATCGTCGTGTATACTCGTTCTTAGCGTACACTTTTTTAACTGTGCAATTAGCACATATAAATAAAGTATACGCTATATGCATTAAAGTATAATAACTTCACTTTGTCTAATTTTTTAATAACAAAATTAAACACAATTATTTACTTGAACACACATTCAACTATTTATTAAAAAATTGTAAAATTCTCAGAAATAGTGGGCAATGGAATGTTCTAAAAAATATGCTTCTGAATACGCCGAAATAAAATACTTTCGAAACTATAAAAATTCAGTTTCAAACATTCTTTCTTTAGAAGACGATTTTTTGGTCGTACGCATTTTAATTTGATACGACACATATCCAATACTTATCAAAATCGGGGGAATGGGAGGAAGAGATACTTGGGTGTTTCCGCGTAAGTTATTCTTTACAAACTGGCTTTATTATCCATTATACAACAGTACTGCGTTTTGCGAGATAGAGAGAAAAAAAGTTAAAGGCGGTATCAGCATGCATATGTATACGCCGAGCGACACGCAGACTCGAGGCCGCAGAGAACGCTCGACGCCACGTTTCACGTTATCGTTCGCGGACTACACACGTGATCGCGCTCGATCGCGCGCGCGCTCTGCTTTACCGACCACCTCTAAAAGTCAAAGGATGCACGGCTGAAATTACACGCTCTTTCGTTTCTCTAGTAGCACGTCTGATCTGGGGGAATGCCACATTCACGAGGACAGTTCGGCGAAACGACTCCGCTCCTATCGAGTAAGTCTCGCCTTCGATCCTTTCGGACGCGCCTCTTGTGCCAGGCGTCGTCATTCTCACTGATTTCGATCGAACGTGTCACTTCCGCGTTACTCATGCATTATTAGGCGCATTATGACGCAAATGTAAATGCAGACTCATTCGATCGCTTCGCTTCATGGGCGCAGTTTTGTACACACGTTTTGCATTATCCTATTATTTAAATTAATTTTTTTACACATTTATTTTCGCGCAAAATGTTTTATTATTTATAATTTGTTTAAGTATAGTGTGATAATCCTGGTAATATGTTTGATTTCCATTTTGTATATCAATTTTTCATGTTTTTATTATCTGTCGTGACTTTTACTTCGTTAATTGAAACAATGCTTCGCAATTAAGAAAAAATTAAAGTAATTTAAAACACAACAATTGGGAATCATTTAAATAATGTTCTTATTAAACGAAGCCCCATATCGTCGTAGCAGTCGTGGCCGAGTGGTTAAGGCGTCTGACTAGAAATCAGATTCCCTCTGGGAGCGTAGGTTCGAGTCCTACCGACTGCGGAAGAGTGATAATTTTTTTTTCCGGTTTTATACTTATGAATATGGGGTAAGAGTAAATAAAAATGTGGCACAAAGATAAATTTAAATGCTATTTTTAGAAACAATTTTTTTTAATTTCGGGCACTCCCGTACGCGATGTGAAATACCGCGAAACGCACGAAATATTATTAAGAAGTATCGCGTGACTTTCTGTCATACAAATTACTCAAACTAATAACTTGCATTTTTGATTCGGAAGAATAAGATAGTGGATAAATCGCTTTTGAATTGGCGATATAAAACGGTGCGTAAATGAGACGTGACCGCGACAAAGTACCACGGTTTATAATACATTCAGATTTTAGATGAGTTAGTCTCGTGAAAGATCTATTTATACGTTGATAAAGAGCCATCACCTCAACATAGAATTCGTTTCTCATTACAAGTTGTAGAAACTTAATAATTAATCGAGGAACGTTGCTTGTTACTAATAAAGGTGTGCAAATCAATAGCGATTTATCCCTGCATTCGTCGCGATCGAGTCTTGGAGACCGATAACGCAAAAGTAATACCACGCACGGAGCGACTCTCGCCACTGCTTGCCGGCTCGACGTTCGGCGAGCGAGTGAGAGCGCAGCGACCTTCAGGCACACGATGGCATGCAAAAACATCGTACGTCACCGCGCCGAGTGAAAACAACAAAAAAACGTTGAGAATTCGTTAGCCCGCTTAATCATCGTACGATACCGCGCCGAGTGAAAAACAACAAAAAAACGTTGCGAATTCGTTGTCCTGCCTACGTAATAGAAAATTCCGTACTTAATATTTTACATTACTTGGTTCGCGACTGTTACTACGTTTTGTGTATCATTCTACGGACTTATTGGCATTGATTAAATGAACGATTAATTCTGTTCAATCGAGAAAATGTTTCGAAACGAACATCGTTGTTACTTAAACTCTAATTAATTAGAGATTTTACCTCAATAGTTGGTGTATAAAAATGTATATTTCTAAATTGCAAGTATTCATTTACTATGAAACTAACAATAAGAGAAGTGAAGCACACTGCGCTTCGAGAAAACCAATCGGCATCGCAGAAAACAGGCCTCAACTGTCGCACTGGTGACATCTCTTTTTTAGAAAGGGATAAATTCGTACCGGTACAAGATAGGAAACCTGATGGATTTTACAAAAATAATTATTTAATCCTTAGAATAATTGTAAATATGTATATGCAATAAATGTAAAATATTCTACAATTAACCTTCCTTTATGAAAAAAATAAAAATTTAGTATCAAATAGCATAGTCACATTATAATCAGCTATATAAATTTATAAAAAATTAACATCAGTTATACCTAAATTGTAAAAATCTTGTTAGCATTCACAAAATGAGATGTATTGTGTTATTTTTTGCCTATATTACTTATATTTCATTTTCATTCGTTTCATATGGCTATTATTACTAAATGTCGCTTATGTGTAATAATATAAAATATTGGTGAGGTACGCATTCGGCAACTCTGCCGTAATAATTCGAAACGCTGTCAATAAAAGGACAGAAGAAATATATGTATATGCAGAACAAGTATTTTATATAATTAAATATTCGCTTTTATGACAAACATAAAAGCCCTCTCATTACTTCAAATAATAATGCGTAATGATAAGTCAATAATTAGACTAGAAGAGACAAGGAAAATTGGCTGTGTTGTGTTAAACAGTTAATTGACTATATCGTTTCTTTGTTTTCCGTTATCGGGATCGTGCAGACAGCGGCGTATCCTATAACTGTTTGTTTACTTTCTCGTTGCGTATGACATCCGCAACGTGCTTGGCAAATATGTCAGATCATTGACGCGGTATGCTCTGGTGATTAATGAAAATCCCGCTACCACGTACGTCTCGAAGATAGTAATTAATTAAACCTTGTTTCTCCTTTCTCCAGTCAGACGGGAAGTTTGATAATTATATCGTGGTCGAGGTTCCAATATAGGCATACGTGCATGTACACACACATATATATATATATATATATATTATCTATCGACTGATCTCTTTCGCAAGGACGTATCTTGATTTTACGCAATTTCCGGTTTTTCTGCTGGTCCAGAGTGAGCGTAAAATCGAGATACGATCTCGCGAGAGAGATCAGTCGCTATATATTATATAACTTTTGTATGTACGTAGAAATATTCAATCTGCTAAGTAAATACATAATATATGTTTCCTGAAAATTTTTCAAGTTTCGGTGACTTACGAAATAATTCAAACCAATCGAGTTTAATAAAGCACTCACGACACTTTCAATTATTTTTCAAGATCCAATTAAAAAGATGTAGACATAAAAAAAATCGAAGCTTTGCGCATACAAATCGTAATCAACACCCGAAAGTAATTACGAAAAGAGTTCTGACAATTAGGACTGTCGATAGATTTTATCGCGTTAATTCCGCATGATCTCTCATACGGATCTCACGTGACGCTCGTATGTGTTTCGCTAAGTATATTGATAGTGTCATTCGGTTGCGACATTATCACATGACACGCGAATTAATATCTTGGAAATTACGCCGTTGTTAAACATTTTACGGAGGCGAGATTGTAACGCTAGTTCGACTGTCTCTTTCGATTGCCGTTTGTTTGAGAAAATCTTATCTCGATGGTCGCCATGTGACACATTAAATGCGTTATCGCAATCTGCTAATCAAGCACTTGAAAAATCATTGCATTCTTCGTTGTGATGGATTATCAAGAGTACTAAAGGTTTCAGTGTTTGATGAACACTGCGCCGAATAGCGAGTCTTTCACTCGCACTTGCTATTTCACAGATCGCGTTTTTCCCTCGAAGGTTCACGTCGATAAAGTTTTACACGTCAATTTCGTGAATTGTGTGACAAAATTTCAGTGGAAATTATTTTATTGAGGAAAATTTAAAGCATAAATCAGGACCATGACGATATGTATGTATAATTAATGAAATAATTAACATATGTTGTTGTATTTATATATAAATTTGTATTTGATAGAACGTGGACGGTTATTATTAGAAAGTAATATCTTTGCACGCGCGTTGCAATTTTGTAATATCAGGCTTGTGTAGTCTTCGATATCGCAACTCGTCACAACTTTTAGAGGCGTGACTATGATTAGTTAGTAGTTTTGCAATTCCTGACATGATGCAGTAGCAGCGATGATAAGTCGATGATGATGGTTAGACATAATCGAATTTCGACGAACATGCAGATATAATGAATGAAATAACATACAACGATATCCATAATGAATCTCGTGTAATTTATCTGTTTTTATTGTTTTACCATTTTAATGAGAAAAATAAGGAAGTTTGATGCAATTTGTGTTATATCTCGTTTTCTAAATGAAAACTTTGTGGGTGATTTATCTTCGTAGCACCCTAATCTTTTACACTTTGACATCTTGCTCCAAATCACATTTTTTACGACTTCTAAGTTGATTTGTGTAAAATATTATTTTAATATATTAATATTGTTCATTTAAATATTGAAGAAATTATTATCTTTAGATATTATTATCGACATCACAATTATTCTTTCCAGACTGTTATTATTATTAAACATTGAATTAATATACATTTTCTCATTCAAAATTGATTAACAGGATTGTAATTCAAATTTTTACTTTAATCATTTTTGCAACTATTTCCGTTTTTACATGCTCATTATGTAAATCATAGGGCCGAGTGTTACACTCTCTCAAAGTTGCAACCCCATTTTCCTCACACGGAATTGATTAACAAGATTGTAATTCAAAATTTTATTTGAACCATTGTTGCAACTATTTCTGTTTTTACATGCTTATTATATAAATCATAGGGCCGAATGTTACACTCTCTCGAAGTTGCAACCTCAAGAGGCTTCTCCTACGGAGGATACCGATTCTAGCATGGCTGCCTCTATACAGTTGGAACAAACTTCTACAGGACACTTTGGCAGGGTTGACAGTGGGTCTGACCGCGATACCGCAGGGCATAGCGTATGCAATAGTGGCTGGACTTCCGGCACAGGTGAGTACACGATACGAGCGTACTTGCGACTGTGTACTTGCTACTACAGACTTCCTTCTGCGAATGACATTCGAGTTCGAGCTATCATTAAATTTCACTTTAGCGTAAATATAATCCTCTAAAAAGTCAATTCAAATACGCGCGCTGCATCATTCCCAACAAAATTGAAATTCTTTGAAACAATTCTAAACTAAAATAATCATTGCAAGAAATTGTGAAGTTAGCTGACGACCCTAAAACTCACGATAATCCTAATTTGAAAACGAATTCGAATTCGTACACTCGTCGAGCTACTCGTAATTTTTCGCTCGGTTAATTGAAACTCTCGAGTATTTTGAGGGGCTCTCCATCAAGTAACCGATCCAATCTACGATAGTTTGCAAGACGACTCTCGTTAGGTGAACTTTTGAAAACTTCAGTATGGCCTGTACAGCAGTTTCATGGGTTGCTTCGTTTATCTGGTCTTCGGTAGCAGCAAGGATGTGACGGTGGGACCTACCGCGATAATGGCATTAATGGTGCACAAGTACGTGTCCGATCTTGGAGAAGATTTCGCCGTAAGTGGCATTTATTAACCCTCGTCCAACATTTTGAAACTTACTTTTGCCCTTTATATGGCACACAATTGCCCTCATTCTATATGTTTGTTGTATTGCGTCAAATTTTTGCTCTAGTATAAATTCACTTTACGTGCATTTCCAAATTACTCGCTAAATTTCTAATCATTTAAAATAATTCGAGTCGCGGTACTCATAGTCGACGCGATTTTATCGCAAGATATGCTCCCTACTTAAATCGTTCTTTTTACGAGGTTCGGATGAAATCGTTTTCAGGTGCTCGTGTGCTTTTTATCAGGCGCCCTGATCACGATCATGGGAGTGCTTCATTTGGGGTTTCTCGTAGACTTTATAAGCATGCCTGTAATTTGCGGCTTCAGTAATGCCGCGGCGATTATTATCGCTACTTCTCAATTAGGTACCTTGCTGGGTATAAAAGGACGTAGCGACTCTTTCATCAATGCTATTTCGGACGTTGTTAATCGTATAAAGGACACCCAACCTTGGGACACGGTACTAGGAGTGTGCTCGATGGCGGTACTGATTCTCCTCAAGGTACGTTCATTCATTGCGGGATTATTATAAAGGTTGCCGCAAAGCGAAAATCGTTCTCAGGAAGTGTCCTTAATAATTCATTTGCGTTTTTTATTAGAACTTCTCGGTATTGACTCAAAAGTTTTATCGCTAATATAATTGATTCGAGCATAGAATTTAACGGTCCAATATCACTTGGGGCACATCTCATCATTTTTTTTATGCGTACTTGATTTTGTATGGTTCGGTTACTTCAGCGAGACACAATTAAGGCGACAATTAATAGATTAAAATGTATGTTCGAAAATAGAAACTGCCCGGCAAGAAGCTGGGGACTCCCTTTGAAAAATTCATGTGGTTAATCTCGCTGGCCAGAAACGCCATAGTCGTGATGATTGGCACTCTCATAGCCTACGTGCTATTCTCTCACGAAATTAGGCCTTTTCACATTACGGGCAATATAACCGAGGGTTTGCCACCGTTTTCTTTACCTCCGTTTACCATCGTGAACGGAAACCGTACGTATACCTTCGTAGAAGCAGTCAACGAACTTGGCAGCGGCATCATCTCGATACCACTCATCGCTATCTTGGAGAGCATCGCCATCGCTAAGGCATTTGGTGAGTAAATACTGACAAATTTATTGAAAAACTTACTTCGATTAAACGACAGGAGAAAACACTTCGATAAAGATACGATTTACTTTTCCCAGAATTTCGTAATAATTGTAAAAGAATCACAAAAAAACGCATGATTAAAAGCACATATTTTTTCAAGTGCCTAATCTCTCGAGGAAGGGAAATAACAGATCCCCCCCATCCTTCTTACCATAGATTCGCGCCCGGGTTTTACGATCGAGTTATTGAATCATCTGGTTTTTGGGCCGCTCCCTCCAATAATAATTAATTTACAAAGGTAAATTGTAAGACACGCCCGAAAAGTTTCGGCAAATTTGCAGCGAAAGGGAAGCCTCTTGATGCCAATCAAGAGATGCTGGCACTCGGCCTCTGCAACGTATGCGGCAGCTTCGTGAGATCGATGCCCGTAACTGGAAGTTTCACTCGTACCGCCGTTAACAATGCGTCCGGCGTCAAAACGCCGATGGGTGGTGTTATCACCGGCGGTTTGGTGCTTTTGGCATGCGGCCTGTTGACATCTACTTTCAAATTTATCCCCAAAGCTACGTTAGCGGCGGTCATCATAATCGCGATGTTCTACATGTTCGAAACACAAATTTTCCTTGTTCTCTGGAGAACAAAGAGTAAGATATTAACTATTTATAGATGCTTGCCAGATATTTCTAAATTATGCTGCACGCTCGATGCTTTCTAAATGTTGTTTTTTCGAGTTTTTATTTTACACTGATAGAAAAAAGTGTAATATTTGAAAGCAAATTTATAGCAATTAGTACTATAATATTAGTAATAGCAACCATATAGACACAGTGACGCCAACTATTTAAAAAATTTACTATAAAATATAAGCTTTTAATTGTTATTCTGTTAAAATATCCAGGCAATGAATAGTAAATTAGTTAATTATTTTTATATAGTAAATACAATCACAGTAATAGTAAATATAACAACATTTTTATTAGCCATCTTACTAATCACATGGTAAACAAAAGTGAAGTGGCTCTGAATGTCTTCACTAAAGGGACGCGCGGTATAAGACTTTCTCGTGAGAAGAAAACCGCATAGAGTGTCATAAATACTGATAAGTTTATACATTCGTATAAGATTACTTATCTTCTCTTTGAAAGATGCTTTCTTGTACTATTCTTTACGAGTGCAAAGTGATGTAACCAATGAACACAGTGAACGCAATGCACATATAATAAAAAGCGGGGAATATTACTTCCAATATAAATACGATTGTTACTATTACATATAATTATTCGAAATTTTACTTCTGGTTGTTATTGCAATATTTATAGTACACCCAAATTAAAAGCTCGCTTTGGTTTATGACAACCATATCATAGGTTGCATGGACCAATATTGCGTCTATGAGAACTATAATACATTGTTGGATCAGCCATAACTTACGTAGTTGGAAGAATTATAAAAATATGGTTGGCTCCTAAAATGACTATAAATTATAGCGAGATTGTGGTAAATGCAACTATTTTTTTCTGTCAGTGTATAATACGAGATATTAAAATTGAGAAGAAAAAAATGAGAAAAATGATTTCTCTCTTAATTAAATAAAAATAAAATCCTTGCAATGAATTCTTTTCCTAGATACGATTTTTTATCACTGCAATTATACATTAAGTCCCAGCATTTTTCTGGCTGAGATGCAAAAAACAATACGCCATTCGAGGAAGCATTAAATACAGTTGCAATCGTTATAAATTATCTGGCGGTTAATCTAGTTTTCAGTCTCTAAGATTAATCGACTTCTTTCACTGGCGTTGAACAGAAATCGATCTGGTGCCGTTGATAGTGACATTATTATGTTGCTTGGCGGTCGGTTTGGAGTACGGTATGATCGCCGGGATTGCGGTAAATCTAATTCTCTTACTCTATTTCGCGGCCCGGCCCGGGTTATTGATCGAAGAGCGGATCGTTGATGGCTTGACCGTGCTTTTCGTATCGCCCAAGCAATCCCTGAGCTTCCCAGCAGCGGAGTATCTCCGAGAGCGAGTAATGTCGTGGTAAGTCCCGCCGCAAATCCGCGTAAGAAATGATTTGGACGCGCGGGTATACCAGGTGCCCCGAAAAAGTGCAAAGTATCGTTCGATTTTAAATAGCATCCGATATCTGGGCAACTCGAGTATAAGAATCTCGTTAAATCCACAAACCTTCAATACTTTTTTAGTGTACCGTCGTAGCGCGCGCAAGTCGCAGGAAACTCTCCATTTTCAAAAACTATCGGAGTCTCGATATCTTCCTTTACGGAACATTTCATTCCATTTTCGTAAAAAAAACCAATATTATGCGCGCGCTCTACGTTTCTCTCGCGTACAATATTTTATATGCGCTCGAAAAAGAGGGTACAGTGTTTAGAATTGCAACTTTGTTGCATATCTAGGTGCGACAAGAGCCCGGCAAGCTTACCAGTGGTAGTGGAGGGCCGTCACGTGCTGAGAATTGATGCCACAGTCGCGAAAAACCTGGCACTGCTCCTGTCGGATCTCGCCGCGCGGGATCAGAAAATCATTTTTTGGAATTGGTGCGAGGACGCCAGACGGACTTTGATAAGTTACGACCCGTCACTCGCGACCTATTGTAGATCGTGTGGCAGCATAGCGCAGATATTTTCAGGTAAGCTTTTTTCAGTCTCTCACTTCGTCGCTTTTCCTCGCGAATAAAACACTGCTTGTTTACACAAATAGAATTTTCTAGAAATTATGATTTTCTTTGAAATATCTATACACCCCTCTCTCTCTTTCCTACTAATGGTTTTTTTTTCGAACGTAATCTAATATAGAGGAGTAAAAAATTTGGCGTTTCTGCGATCGTTATAATCTCCGGTAATAGATAAATTGAAATAATTTGACGTTCCTGTGCGAACGATATTTTTACATTCATTAGCGACATAAATTGGCTCTTCTTTTTTCGATTGAATTCTCAAATAACGTCATGAATGAGGACTTGATATGAAAGCATAATAGGTACGTCACGGGGAAAATTACTTTTATATTTAAAGATATTTCCAGCGGGATATAAAAGAAAATAGACGCTATTTTTAAGATTTATGAGAACGTAAAAAAATGAATACCACGAGCACCTCTCTCGGTCTTCTCGGTGTTTTTTTTTTTCGAAAATTAAGTAAGATAAATTTGTTCTGTCGTAATTGGTGTAATCGTTTTTACATCGTGTTCCATTAAAGTATCGTATCCCATTTTTGCGTCATTATTAACGCCGTGATGCATTAGTTTGCAAGTTTACGAACCGCATATTTCTCTTCCCGATACTCGAGGGGGGGTAGGGCGGATGGCGTTTCAAAATTTTCCGCGCTTTATCAGGCTCGACGTGACGCGCGCGAGTTTGCAAATTTACGAGCCCCTGCGCTTTTGAGGAGGGCGCGCACATCCGATGGTACTCGTGGGGTTAATGGATTGTGGCGTCTCTGGAAATTTCCGTATTATCAAACTCGACGAGACGTGAAGTTCGATGAAGGCGCATTCACGAAGAAAAGGAAAGAAAAAATCTCGCAACTTTTTTTCGAGAAGAAAAGAAACGTAAGAGAATAAATTCTTCTCGAGAGCTCGATAGGAGATTTCGCTCGATCGTAGGAGCTCGCCCAAGTCGTTGTGTATTCGCGAGAGGTATCGGTGCCCGTTTCTGTACATCCAAACTGGGCGGAGGACTTTTGCATCATGGCTACGCGATTACAATTAGAGGAAAGTCCCCCATTATGAGGTAGGATCCTAATATGGGATAGCGGGGTTTCCGTTGAATCAATAGACAGTTGATCTTGCCAATTTATTGCCCACGGAGCGAAATCTGCGAGGAGTAAACCGCTGAGGGAATTGTGCTGTACAGATTTGCGGCATTTTTAGGCATTTTTGGGCATTAGTTTGGGCATTAGGCCTTGCATTATAAAGATAAAATGAGATAATAACATTGGTGTACGTGATTTTGGTCAGCGGTTTATCCCTCGGACATTTGCTTAGTGGAACATTCATTGTTAGATTGTGTAATCGTTGCGAAAGAAGACTTGCGATTGAATTTGGGCGTTGGACACCTGCTATCTCGTATTAGAAACCTATCTCTCATAATAGAGGACTCTCCTCTAATAAAATTGAATATCTTGGAAACCAAGACGGGCCGGACATTTGTCATTTTTTACGATACTTTACGAATTCGAGGGAAAAAAATGTTCGATCGAGACCATTTTTGTTCGGATAAAATTCGCCCACGACGAGAACACGATGAGCGTACAAAATATGATTCTTCTTAAAAAAAAGTCTGATCTTTATGTCAGATCTCGACGTTGCGTTCGCAAACGTTGCTCCGATCGAATCGCTTCCCCTTCGCGATACCGCGACGGGAAATCTCGGATCCGGCTCAATTTCCAAGATATTTTATTCCATTGATTATAATTGGACACCCTGTGCATGCTGCAGCTGCGATCGAACATCGTGGGCATTTACGCGGCGACCTATATCATCACGTATGCGCATACCGAATCACTTATGACAACCCCTCTTCCTCCCCGCCTACCACCGCTGGTACCGGAGTATTACACTTCGAACGTACACCATATTGTTTCTATCGTGTTACGGCCGCGGCGGGGCGGCGGTTGATATAATAGTTGGCAGTGTTCTAAACTCATTTCATTTCGCATAGAAGACAAATCCCCGCCTCGAGCATCGACAAGAGCGTATGGCTGGCCTATCAATTTGTCGTAAAAATCCCGCGATTTATTAGTAGGATCAGCCAGCTCGCTCTGAATCATTCCCAATCTGAGATTAATTATGGATGGAGGAGAGTCCCCTATTATGAGATAGGCTCCTGATACAAGATAGCGGGGCTTCCGGTTAAATTAATAGGCATCATCTGTTGATTCCATCATGAATTTATTGCCCCTGGAGCGAAATCTGTTTAGCGGACAATTCATTGTTGGGTCGTGTAGTCGTGACGAAAAGAGATTTGTGATTGAATTTGGCTGTCGAAGACCTATCTCGTAATAGAGGACTTTACTCTACATATTATTTTTAAATATAACATATATTTAATATAAAAGTATGAAAACACACAAATGTACAACTACGAAGTGCTTGTACACGAAATGAAAATATTAATATTAAAAATAATTGCTAGATACGCGAATTCTAACGTGACTCTTTTCCCCGTAATTATTTTATCAATCTATCGATTGTTTCACTTGAAAGTTTTAATATTATTCGTTCGGAAGCCTCCAATTATTTAGTTTTCGCTCACAAACGCGCGTGTTCGCGCAACTGTGGTGTTTTTGTTTTACAATTTTTGAAAAAAAAAAACAACTTGATTATATGCAACACAAATATTTCACGCGCGGAATAAATGCACGTGTATTACGTCCTTTGGGCAATAAAATAGTCATCGTCAAGGTAAATTTAGTAAATAAATAAGATTTACCATAATGACTTGGACGATAATCAGATCGCTTTTCTATTTTCAGGCGAGACTGTGATTAGCTAACGGAGTTACCGCCATAACGGACATGTGTTCACTAGGATAAATTATTAAGCGGCCAAGTTTTCTCAGTGCAACGTTAACGTGTACAGCAAATGATACTAATAATATTAAACGTGAATTCCGAAAACAATAGCTGGCTTCCTTATGCATTCCCAATGTTCCCCTTGTGCATTCTATGGTGAAATTCATACGCAGGCGTACGCTGGCGCGAACGATAATGCGATCATCCGACGTACACGTAGGTTATTGATAATATTATTTTTATCGTCAGGAAGGCGTTGGACGTTGTTACATCAACGACAGGGTTGATACCCTTCATTTTTATCACGTCCCATTATAGCACGAGCGATCTTTTTCTGGATCAGTTGTTAATACACCATCCAAGATTATCGACTGAAATTATTAAGTATAACTCTCGACACAGTCAATATCTTAACTTGCAGTTATTTATCTGTTCCCCCCTTTCCTTCTCGGTTCTTTTTTTACATACACAGCGAGTTAAATATATCGAGACAGTTCCCGAGAAATTAAGTATATAATCGCAATTTTTTTACATGAAATAATTTCA